GAAAAATCCATATAAATCCTAGTTATTGATGCTAAAATGGAGCTATGAAGAGGCCTGGCGCCTTCAAACTCCGGGTCTCCCCCTCGACCCGAGGCTTTGGCCACCTTTGACGAAGCGAAACAGGCCATGCAGAAACATAAGGAGGTCAGGCACCTGTGCTGGCGATACCTGCGCCAGTTGCTGGTTTATCCCACGGTTTATCCCGTTGTTTTTTGTCCGTGCTCCATGGTTCCTAAGAGTTACTAAGTGGTGCAGGATCTTTTCCACATTTTGATGATGATGAATGATGATGATTATTGTTATTAGCAGAAATAATGGCGAGGATTGTGCAAACTGCTGAGGATGTTGGGGATGATTATTAGTACTATTATTATTGATGATGATGAAGATGAAAGGGAGAACAACACCACGAACCCCCCGGTCCAGTGGATTGGAAAATCAAGTTCCGAACTAAAAACAAGTGGCCCTATTTGAAAGCTGGTTGGTGGTTTCCCACATTTTTTATTTTCCATAGTATATGGGATAATCATCCCAACTGACTTTCATATTTTCAAGATGGTTAAAACCACCAACCAGAAAGTGTTTTTGGGATTTTTTTTTGATACAATATAGGTGAAGAGTCGGTGGCTTGAGGGTGGTGCGTCTCCAGCTTCGCCAAGTGGGGAAAGGTTTAAAAACATAGGTTAGCCCGATAGGTGAAAACGATAGGTAAATATCTGAGCCATCTTTAGGACCTATAGGTAAATAACTATAGGGTAACTTGGATCTTTAGGAGATATATTTCATCAAGTCCCACCCGGCCCTTCACCAATACCAATAGATCCTTAAGCTACAGTTCATGGACCTCAAGCGGTCCATCGCGAGGTGGTGGTGATGGGATGGAATGCCTGTCACGACTTGGAGGCGACATTTTCAGAGTGGTCAAATTACTTTAGGGCTGAGATTATACCAATGGGTTTTATATATATATATATATATAATCTACATATACATACAATATCATGAAATGAGGTTATATCAATGGGTTCTATTTACATATACATATGAACGATTATGATCAATTATATGTATATATATATGAATTCCAATGTTTCACGATTCAGACCTGAAAAACAATGGTGGTATGGGGTTATTCCACGGGACAATGATTGGGACGATGGGAGAATGATCGGTCAATGGAGGTAGACTTCTCCTTGCCATGTTTGAGGACACCGGAAGGTATAGCTAACCCCCAAAAAGCTGCAGACAAATATAATATTTCCCAAAAATTAGTGGTAGTGTGCTTTTCATATATTTTTGAGGGTTGCTACAATCAAGAATGCCAAGAAACACAAAAAGTCATTTCACCAAAATGATGAAAAATGATGATTTTCCCAGCAAAGCTCCACTTAGCTCGGTGATCTTTCAGCCATGCTTGATTGCTGGAGGGTAACAAGTTTATACAAGTTTGCTTGTGAAGAAGTTTGCTTACCATCTCAATCTCCACAATCTCCCCAAGTGACTGTTTCAATTACTCAAAGATCCTGTGTAACCTAAAAAGTGAAACTCATCATGTTGGATTGCTTCGGAGTCCCAAATATGGACTGGGGCATCAAGAGGCCCCAATCTATCCTCCATTGAAAAAACATAGATGTCCTATTCCCACTGGTTGACTGACTACCAGTGGCTTCCTCCCGTTCAACAACAAAGAAGTATATACACCAGATGATACATGATAACAATTAGATATAAATAGTATACCACACCAGTTTTGTAACATATGTTTCCTAAAAGAACAAGGGAAAATAACTACTTTTAATAGGCAAACCATCTAATATAAGTGGGCCATTTTCCATAGCTACAGTTAAAGCCCATTACCAGTTATGTTTATGGTTATAAATGGTTCTACGTTATAAATGGGACTATCATTTCATTCTTATGGGGTTATTTCATTACTAACTGTTTTTTTCGCCATCTCTGATAAGTGACCATATGTTCATGTATTTCCCAGGATATGTCTATGATGTTCCCAGCTAGAAACTTCTGTTTATAGAGCCGCAGGCCAGTACTGGCGGCTAGGCCCGTTCGGAGTCAGAGTTCCAGTTGGCATGTGGCCACATTTGCTCGCAGTTTGTACCTAGACAACTAGTTCTCATAGCTGTCACAGCTATTCCCCTATGTTCACTCTCCAGATTCACGAACGCGTGACATGTCGCGGCCGAACGCCCGCAGGTCATGCAGCTCTGCCAAGAGGTGTGCTTCAATGTAGGCTCGTTCATGCGCCTGGGAGCTGGGCTGTGGAAGTTGCTGGGGAAATCATCTGGATTTTCAAGCCGTGGCAAACTGGTTGGTGGTTTGGAACCATGTTTTTTTTTGACTTTCCATATATTCAATGGCCATTTCAGGTACCTAAATTGGAAGTACCTACCATATATAAGGCCTATGTAAGGGAATATCCCCACAAAATATGGCCTTATATGGTACGGTACCTCCATTCTAGGATCCTGGAATTCCGATTGATATATTGGAAATTTCATCATCCCAACTGACGCACTCATATTTTTCAGAGGGGTTGAAACCACCAACCAGCAAAATACCGGATGGTAAGTCCGAATTTGGGGACCTCAAGACACACCTAAGTTGTTTGAACTATGTTGAACTAAGCAAGTTTACAACATGCTTTGTGGTAGACGTATATCTAACACTATAGTTGGGGTGTATAATCCAATAAATATATCTTGGAGTAAGGTGGGCCCACATTGTAGCGATGAATTTGAAGCTGGTTGTGGAAGTGGCCATCCCTCTTCGAACCTTGGAAGCCACTGCCGATTTGATTTTATGATATACCGATGATGATGTTCCATAGCAAATTGTGAAAATACCTTTGGACCTAAGGGTATTGAAGTAGCGCATCCAGTTGAGATGTGTTTTTTTCAGTGAAACGGTGAAACAACGCGTTTTTGGCATCTATTTCTTGAGCCTAGTAGCGGGGTATGCGGCAGCCACAGCCAGGTAGCGATTACCTCATCGCTAGACACTGAGGCCGAAGCTGCTCTCCAGTAAACGAAGAGTTTATGTCGTACCCTTTGACTGCAGACTTTCATGGAATTTATAGGGTTTTTTTGGGATTACATGCTGATTATACCGGATTTTGTGGGATATACCCTCTGGTTCTGCCTAACAATTTGCGAGCTGGAAAACATGGCCCATGGCTACTTCCATGGCTTGCCTATCAATTTGATGGTGGTTTTCCATAGAACCTGTTGGTTTACTACGAGAAAATTGTTCCGAAAATTCACATGAATGAATCATGTTTGAAATGGATCAATCATGATCAATGACATAAATACATATAAATTTTGCTTTTAGGATTATTCGCATTCATAGATCCCAGCTAGTTTGTTGTGAAGTACAGGGACGCCGGGTTGCACTGACCCACCATTTGGCTCTTGGCCTCTACCACTTGGTTTGAACCAATTTGTATGGGCCACACCGCAGGCCACCCAAAGAATGTCATGGTATCATGATGTCAAAATATTACGTCAAGAGCATCAAAAACTTGAGACACGAGCTGAAGTTGTTTGTTTCGCACAGAAAAGCGTGTAGGCATTCAGTTTCCTTAGCGCAGCACTCCCTAAACAGAAATGTCAGTAGGAAACTGAACATTGATGACTCCTGACTCGGACTCTCTTCGACGACATTTTGGATTGCCCACTTTTGTTGAGTACACGGACGCAGTTTATTTGTGAACAATTACGATAACATCAACAAATTGTCTGGTAACATATGACGGTGCTGCAATGTTTATTGCGTACTGGTGATTGTGAATTGAAATCACTTCCCCATTTCATGTCGAATATCTGAAACCAAGGTTCGGTATTGAATCTACGGATTCACATTGGGGCTCCGTATGGGTGGGTATTCTATCATTATTTATGGATACTATAAATTGGCGCTAGTTAAATATTCCCATTTCATGACCGTGACACGGGTTAACCACGGTTCACCATGGTTCACCAGCTGGCATGTGGTAAATCCCATGATCACCAGCGTTTTTGTTTTTCGAATTCTCCATGGTAAATCCCCCATTTGATCCTATAGGGATCCCCATCTTTGCTGGCGATGCTTAGGTCACTGGAAGTGAAGCAGCCCCAGAGGAGTGGTGGCCGACAGCGCAGGAAGAGGCTCCGTGGATGGGATCAAATGGGTGTAAGCATGGTTATAAAGCGCCAAAGTTGGGATATAAGCCCTACATATATATTATAGAGATAGATATATAGATAGATAGATAGATAGATAGGTAGGTAGGTAGGTAGGTAGATAGATAGATAGATAGATAGATAGATTAGATAGATTAAATAGATTAGATAGATTAGATAGATTAGATAGATTAGATAGATTAGATAGATTAAATAGATTAGATAGATTAGATAGATTAGATAGATTAGATAGATTAGATAGATTAGATAGGTTAGATAGATTAGATGGTTTAGATAGATTAGATATATTAGATAGATTAGATAGATTAGATTAGATTAGATTAGATTAGATAGAGTAGATTAGATTAGATAGATAGATAGAGAGATAGAGAGATAGATAGATAGATAGATAGATCGATAGATAGATAGATAGATAGAAAGAAAGATAGATAGATAGATAGATAGATAGTATTATATATTTAGTATTATATATATACAGTATTATATAGTTCTATATCCACTCATAGCATCTTATAACTAGAACTTCCAAGGTAGGAACCATATGTGCCATGGTCATCAACCCATAAAGAGATAGGTCATCCCCTCACGGTGTGATAGGTCCCATCTATTGGGATAACCACACCAATGGTGATTAATGGTGATTAATGGTGATTAATGTTGATTAATGGTGATTAATGGTGATTTACCCTCAGGTAATTTAACATATTTCTATCTTCAACTTCGTCTCCGCCGAGGCTATCATTGGTAGTTTCTGCATGCTTTTTAACGTCGTCGAGGTGTTTTTCGGTGGCGCATTTTGGTCGGCAGGACCTTTGGCAAATTGCCGCGCTGCGGCGGATTTCAGTGCTTGGGGTGGGGCAATCGCTGGCCTTCTGGCACTTGTGATGACCATCACAGCGTTGCTGAGCTCTGCAGTGGCCCTCGACGAGTTTTTTCATCAGCTTGGGCCCAGCATTGGGCAATTTTTTGGAGAGTGTGGGCAAGCAGGAAGGCCTTTGGACGAAGTGGTGCTTGAATCTATGGATGTAATATGGATAGAGCACCTTCAGAGCACTTGAGTGCATGTTGCTCTGGCAGTGCCCTAGCGGTTGTTTTGAGTTCAAGTAAACGCCTTGGGAAATAACCCAAAGATCCCTTGTCATATGTGGTTTTATCCCCTACTTGGAGGATCATCCCGCAGATCGGATTCGTCCCCGTTTCGTGGCTTATCCCGTTTATAAATAGTTTGGGAGGGGTAGGTCAACCACCAACCAGATTATTATTAACCATCATTAACCATATAATAACCATATATTAACAGTATATTAACCATAGTTATAACAGTTTCAAATTGGTTATAACCGCAGTTTCTGACCAGTCATGATTCGCGAGGTGATCCTCCACATACAAAACGCTGTTGTTTTTAGGCGCGTCTACTTTTAGGGAGAAGGGATTGTTTGAAAACTTTGAGCGGGGGATGTAGCCACGTAGCCGCCCCAAAAAATGTGGATAATCAGCATGTATGATAAGAAAACCTGTGGTTTCACAGACACATATATATATATATACATATAATTATATACATATATATATATAGAAATTAGAGAGATATGTATATACATATACATATCCCTGGAAAACACAGTATGATTGATGTTTTAGAGCCCAATCTGTTGTTGGTTCAATCCTCATTTTCTCAGGCAGATCTCTCCGCTGCACGTGTTGGACAGCTCCGAGGCGATGTGCGGCTTGAGGGTAATAGCAGCTGATGTCAACATGAACACAATAAAACCATTACCCTTTGGTAAACTAACATAGCTATTGAAAATGGCCATTTATAGTGGATTTTCCCATTAAAAATGGTGATTTTCCATAGCTATGTTAAATTACCAGAGGGTATAAAAATAGAAAATGATTTAACCCATTAAAAAAAAGGACACATTTCACCATTAAAAGGGAAACGGGTTTGTATCTTTGTTTGAAAATCAGGGTTAATCCCGATCCCAATTTGTGCACATTTCAGCAAAAATATAGGAAGATAAACCATCGTTTTTTCTGGGTGGATTATGATGAACTCGTTGTGACTTGGCCCATACTTTGCCTGCTGACTCAAGAGATGTTTCATCATGTCAATGGGAACTCCAGGATCCTTTGATATGGAGCTACTAGGTACCATTTTTCAGGCCATATTTTGGGGGCATATCCCCTTGCCCCTTGCCCTCAAAAATAGGCCATTGATAAGGAGGACATGTACCGATGAATCCACTAGCACTTACCTGACTGCAACTGGGCTCATACTCGGGGGTCAGGCACTGCAAGTGGGGGATAACCTTACGATGTCTATATATATATAAGATTATATTTAATAAATTATTATATGTCATAAATAATTATATATTATATATATATAACTCATATTATATATATATATATATACATATACAACTACTATTATATATATATATATACATATATATATATTCTATTGTATGCACCCAATGGATCCAACTTTCTGAGAAAGTCCCTAACCCCTGACTCATCCAAACATCCCAGGCCCTAGCGCTCCGCAGCGTCCCAAGACTTCAGTCCTCAGGACATGTGCACGATGATTTACCGTAAGCGGAAACGGTGATTTCACAGGTGAACATGATGATTTGCCCGGCAAGCACATGTGATTTAAGTCAATCAAAGATAGAGGATCAATATTTCATGTTTACTGTTTACCTTAAGACTCCAAGACTGATGTCTATTGAGGATGTTTCTGGAACAAACATGATAACAACAAATGGGTTTCTCTGCCTCATGGATGCTGTTCCTGTCACGGTCCTGTGCAAAGTGCAGCAGTGCCGAAAGCAAAGGGACAAGGTGCCAAAAAGCGAAAGGTCGAAACCACACCATCTTCCCCAAATCTGCTTATAACCCTATTGTAGACTGTTTGATATTTGTAGTAAGTCACATTGATTGTTGACTTTCGTAAGGATCAACCATTGACCATCCCAGGTATTCGCTGCGTTCCCTTGGGGTTGTTATGCTCCGATTTTTTGTTGTTTAAAAGTTAAAAGGTTAGATATATACTACTCCATTTTATTCCCATATATTCCCCATTATACTCCCCATATATCTCCGTTTCAATGCACAACACAAGAAAAAACATGATCATCGCATGACGCGAATACGTCAGGATTGACCCCTATGCCGCACCGAACGAACTGGCGCCGGTGTGGTCTCCTGGGGACATCTGATTTTCGTGTTTTTGGTACCATTAAACAAAGATATTTTCACAAATGAACAATGGAAATATATGGAAATATGGGTTTGTAATGGTTTGTATGTTTGAAATCATTGATCCTGGTGAGTTGTCACCGCATTATCAATTCTTATTGGGCCCCATTTGCCGAAGGTGATGTTTTAGTGTGGCAATTCCAAGAATACAGCAAAATGATACCAATCTACATAGGAATGCTCCGTAAATCCACCTAGGGTTTCATGCTTTGTTGGAACATGTTGGAAGATGGTTGCTAGACGAAAGGCTTCACGTTTCTTATACGAAGATTGCGAAAAACTGGTTGGTGGTGTCAATCATGTTCTGCTTTTAATCCTGAGACGATGATCTCAACCGTCAAAAAAAATCGCAAAGATGACATGACTATGGGTCAAGACGGATTGTGCATGTTGATGTTTCTCCCCAAACATGGTAGATAACAAATTCTATACCCCAATATATATATATATAATTGATATATATATATATATACATATTATATATATATTGATATATATATATATTGATATATAAATATATATATATATATATTGATATATATATATATTGGGTGGACCAAAAACCAAAGACAATTTACAAATTAATATTTGGAGAGGTTAAACAATATATATGGCCCACTCTCTGCGCCGGGCTCAGAGCTGTTGGGGGCCACAAGCCAAGCCAAGCCGTCGTCGCAGCCCGGGATCTACGAGGTGTCGATTCTGGGAAAGGAGTCCTCGGGGTTGGTGGTCCCCTGGTTGATGATACCCTAAGGATCCATGTATGGAATATTTAACTACATTGGGATTATTTTAAATTACTTTAGGGGTCAATGTAGGTAAATGTTCCATACATGGATCCTCTGGGATAGGTGGTTGTACGACCCCTTATGATTGGAACATATTGGAACACTTGATTGAACAAACAGAGTGAGGATTGACAAGGGATGAAAGAGGCTTTTGAACACTGAATTGACTGAACATGTGTGGTGTCCATCCTGAAAAAATGTCGAGTGTATTGAGATATATTGAGTATCGTAATTTGGTGTGATCTATTAACGGATGTACATTCAACACATGACTATTCTAAATCCCATATGCTCCATGTATGGAATATTTACCAACATTTACCCAAACAAAATCACCCAGTTTTGTAGGTAAATATACCAGCACCATGGAGCATTAATTACTGGGAATTACCGTGATGTATCCTCACGGATGTTTTAATGTTATGGAGATGGGCTTGTGTTTGGAAGCTTTCGAGACAACATGTTTGGACGAATCTGGACATGGCAACAGCTGTTCCAGCTGCATTTCGAGTACGTGTTGAGTCTTATAAAGGGTTGCTCTTTTCTCTTTGATCAATGTCACAAGATTTGGATTGAGGTGTTACGCTTCTCGAAATGCCCAGCAAATAGTTTTAGTTCATCCATAGGGTTGTGGCAATCCATGGGTGTTTTGTGTTAACATTTATATCTCCAAGTGCGCACAACGATCCAGCTGGTTTATCATGGTTTATCATGGTTTATCATGGTTTATCAATTGACATCAATTGACTGCAATGTTGGATGTGTGCATCTATCTATCTAATCTAATCTAATCTATCTATGTTTATATATACATATGGGAGCCGTCCGTAAAAGCAGGTAACAAATTTATGAATTGATGCGTTTACTCTGCTTTGCGCGATTGCCAAAACCTGCATCGCGATAGGCTGAGCGATTGGTTGGCGATTGGTTATACGGCTACGACGACTACTACTACTACTACTACAACTACTAATACTACTACTAATCTACTACTACTACTACTACCACTACCACTACCACTACCACTACCACTACTACTACTACTACCACTACTACTACTACCACTACTACTACTACTACTACCACTACTACTACTACTAGTAGTAGTAGTAGTACTACTACTACTACTACTAGTACTAGTAGTACTACTAGTATTACTAGTACTACTAGTACTACTGCTGCTGGTACTACTGTGAGTTTTCCGGACCGTTTCCGGACCGAGCAAGCTTATTTTGCTCCCAAATTTGAAATCGAATGCGTTCACGCATGGATCCTTACTCTCATTACTAGACTTGCTACTACTCTTTGTACTACCACCACACCCGCTGCTACTGCACCACCACTACCACTAGTACACCTAGGAATTTCTGCCTTTGCTTTTAAATCCAATTGACACGAGTCCCGCTGAAGGGTCAGAAACCAGTCAGAAACCAGTCAGAAACCCGTCAGAAACCCGTCAGAAACCGGCCAAACGCAACCATCTGTTTCCCCCCTCCCTCCCTCTCTCTCTCTCTCTTTCTCTCTTTCCCTCCCTCTCCCTTTCTTCCCTTGCCCTGCTACTAGAACTCCTTCTCCTATTCCTACTCCTACTCCTACTCCTACTCTTACCCCTCCTACTACTACTACTACTACTACGACTAGTACTACTAGTACTACTAGTACTACTAGTACTACTAGTACTACTAGTACTACTAGTACTACTAGTACTACTAGTACTACTAGTACTACTAGTACTACTAGTACTACTAATACTACTAGTACTACTAGTACTACTAGTACTACTAGTACTACTAGTACTACTAGTACTACTAGTACTACTGCTGCTGGTACTACTGTGAGTTTTCCGGACCGTTTCCGGACCGCGCAAGCTTATTTTGCTCCCAAATTTGAAATCGAATGCGTTCACGCATGGATCCTTACTCCCACTACTAGATTTGCTACTACTCTTAGTACTACCACCACACCCGCTGCTACTGCACCACCACTACCACTAGTACACCTAGGAATTTCTGCCTTTGCTTTTAAATCCAATTGACACGAATCCCGCTGAAGGGTCAGAAACCAGTCAGAAACCAGTCAGAAACCAGTCAGAAACCCGTCAGAAACCGGCCAAACGCAACCATCTGTTCCTCTCCCTCCCTCCCTCTCTCTCTCTCTCTCTTTCTCTCTTTCCCTCCCTCTCCCTTTCTTCCCTTGCCCTGCTACTAGAACTCCTACTCCTATTCCTACTATATATTATGTATATGATCTGATCAACGAAGAACAAACCCTTCCGCGATTGCTCACTGTGGTACCGCGGTTGCTACGCGATTGGCTGAGCGATTGAGGGCTGTCCGGGAAAAGGTATTTTGGACAACCCCCATATATATATATTTATTTATTTATTTATTTATATATACGTATCTATATCTATACCAATGCCTATAATTGCCTATACCTATATATGTGTATCAATGTCTACATCATATATCTGCAGTTCTGCTGATATACAGTGCAATGCTACACACTGCAGGCAATATTTTACCCTATTACCATCTGGTAATCTAACAGTTTGCTATGGAAGATCACCATCAACTAATTATAAATGGGTCATTTCCAATGGCAATGTAAAATTACCAGAGGGCAACTGGTTACGAAATATAGCTGTTTTCTAGGGAGGTGTTCCTCATGAGACATTACCAGAGGGTACCTTCATGATTTATACATCATGAACCATGCCAACATAGATTACTACCGCCGGAGGCCATGCGGCGTTCACTGGGACCCCTCCTTTGTGTGCTGGCGCTGCTGGCCATGGCTGCATGGCATAGAGCCTTCGTGTCTTCGCCTGGGGCAGGCAGGGTCGTGCAGGTGGTTTAAGCATCAACAATTGTGAGAAATACGCTGGTTGGTGGTTTGGAACATGGCTTTTATTTTTCCATATATTGCGAATAATCATCCAAAGTGACTTTCATATTTTTCAGAGGGGTAGGTCAACCACCAACCAGGTTTGATATGATTCAATCATCAAACCATAGGTTTGGCCAGACACGGTGTACAGTACACCACGAAATGTCATGACATAGCCATTTTGTCGGCAAACATGATGATGAATTGAAATTCTTATTACACTATTTTAGACAGACCCGAATCATAGAACATGAATGACCGAAATAAATGCATGAACATACATGCACCTTTGGAAAATAACACTCAGATCTCCAGATATAAAGGTGCACAGAAACTTCCATAGATTCCCCTTCAGCGTTTATAAACAAGTGCTAAACACAGGTGTATCACAGCCTTGGAATTGGTTATGCATGCTTGGTGGCTCCATCCCTGCCTTTGGATAAACCTTGGGTCACTGCGGTCACCGTCCCAGTGGATTCTAGGGATAAACAGAGACCCGGCCTGGTAAACATACAGAAAGCGATTGAAAATGGTCATTTACAGTGAGTTTTCCTATTAAGAATTGTGATTTTCCATAGCTATGTTAGTTTACCCGAGGATATCCATTCTGGATTCTCGATTGCACTTGCTTATTCACCCCAATTAGTACAGATTTTTGTGATTTCCCAGCAGTTCTAAATAGGAGAAGTCGGCTTAGTGTAGATACAACTGGGGTTGTAAACAACCTGGGGTTTTGACCGATTTTGACCGCCCAGAGGTGAACTTTTCCATCTTTTCGCCAGGAGTCACATCTCATTCCTCAAGAACGGTGCAAATGGCTGAGCGGCCGGGAGGGCCCGGCGTGCCCCCAGAGGAGTCAGGGCTCAGAGTGGAGAAAACTTCCCAAGAGAATGGTGAGGTTTCCCGTAACCAGATTGGGCAAAACTGGAGTAGATGGATGTCATATATGATGTACCCTCTGGTAAACTAACATAGCTATTGAAAATGACCATTTATAGTCAGTTTTCCCATTAAAACTTGTGATTTTGCATAGCTATGTTATTTTACCAGAGGGTAATCAAACGTCCTAAATGACAGAGAAACATGGGAACATTTGCTGGGGATCTTTTGGACACAAAAACATGGGCATATCATCAAGACAAGATAGGGTCTGATGGAAAACGCAGTCGTCAATAGGCACTTTTCATTTTCAGCACGTTTTCAACACAGCAATATCAGGCAAAGAGCAACAGCAGTACAGGGTGGAAAGGGCACAACGTGTATTGTAGGACTCTTGGAAAACAGTACATGGTACGATGGAGGGATGAGTTGCCCAAGAATTGGAAACCCTGGGGTAACTTGGGGTCTTCCAACTAGCACCGGCTGTTGGTTGGTGGACTTCTTGATCATCAGCATATATTTTGGGAGATTCCTTAATCAAATTGCAAGTGAATGGTGGGATTGTTGATGATCTTAGTGTTTGGTGCGTGTTTTTTTTTCAGACCAGTTGAGTGGGTTTTGAATCCTATTAATCCTAACTTTGAAAGCTAGTGAGCTAAGGTGGTTTATATTTATACATGACTCCAGTTTAACTGTTGGGTCTGTGGTAGATATGTCTATATGAATGGGGGCTATAGACAATTAATTATTAAACCAACCTATGATGGTGGGATGGGGATGGGGATGGGAAAGATGATTCAAGGTGATGTTTTTCTTTGCAACAATGCTGTTTTTTAATCAACAACCATATCCATCAAACAATCACACCAACTGCACCAGCAAGTGGATGCCATGCAGGCGCAGCCTGTCTGCCTTGGCTGCGCTTTATCCCAGGAGATAGAGATGGAGGTGGAGGGACTGGATGGTGCCACTGCTTCCCTTGGCTTTTTCCTGGTCGTGGGCATTCTGATCTTCGGATGTCTTCAGGACGGCGGGTGGATGTTACACCTTTGAGATGATTGGTTTTGCATCGTTGATATGCGTGAAGAATGCATCCAAGGCGGAAAAAATAAAGGATCAGACATACATGGGGTTTCTACTAGATATAATCTAGATATATAATATATGGTATAATTGTATATATATATACACATCACTTAATATCACTTAATAGCACTTACACATCTGGATCACTTTGGGGACTTTGTGGACGAAGTGCATTTTTGGCACCAGAGAATCATAGGCGGCATATCCCAAGACATCCTAGATGCGTCTTGTCATAGGGATAACATGAAATATGTCACTTCTTGGACAAAATTGAAACAGTTTCTGAACCATCACCCGAGTGGACAAGACCCGGCCAGGCAGAAGTGAACCAGGGCGTTATTGGAAATCCAACCGCTGCATACTGAAGGGTCGGTCTGAGGGCGAAAGCGTGCTTCATCGCGGTCAAGAAGCTTAGCCGGCTTAGCCAGAGAAACAAAACATGCATTTGCGCCAAACATGCGCAGTGACGATGCAAAAAATGCACTTCATCTTCTTTGCAGATTGCTTCGAGAGATTTTCGCAGTACTTTGCTGTCCAAAAGGCGGCGCGTTTGCTGCGCGGAGCGTTCCATGTGTTTTTTTTGGGGGGGGCTCTGAAGCTTAGATACTGGGCAAGCAATGTTTAATGATCTGCCTTGCCTCTCCTTGCATTTTGAACTGGTTTCAAGACAAATCTGCCAAGAAAGCCACGGAGAACCATCTGTTCGAATGGTAAAACAAACCAACAAAAGCAATTTCTAGCACCCGAAATGGTCAAACGTGGCTGGATGGGAAATCCCCGAACTAGCCATGGAGGCTTCATTCTCTGCAAAAATCATCGATTTTTTTCGGGATTTTCCAGCAAACCATGTTTGATAACAGAAGGGAACTTGACCATCATTTTTTCCGGGTCAACTTGGAAGTGCTGTTCCAGTAAAAAAAAGTGGAGATGCTTCACATTTTTTCATCATATATACTGGTTGGTGGATTGGAACATTTATTATTTTCCATAATATGTGGGATTATCCTTCCCATTGACTTTCATATTTTTCAAGATGGTTAAAACATGTTAAAACCACCAACCAGTATAGTAGGCCCATATCCCCACAAAGCTGGAAGATTAGTTCACCATGGTACCCTCGAGAAGAAAAACAGTTCCGACCAAGGCACTGTTGGCTGGTTTGCGAGCTGCAGGATGCGGCACCTCAATTACCTTGCTGGTGGGGGGCGGAGAAGGTTTTTGTTGGGCGAAGAAACGATTAAACATATTGGGACCTACCCTCTGGTAAACTAACATAGCTATTGAACATGGCCATTTATAGTGGATTTACCCATTAACAATTGTGATTTTCCATAGTTACGTTAGTTTACCGAAGGGTACATGTCAAAACATCGGAAATATTGACATGTTCAACTGTTTTTTGATTTAGTTATTGGCTTGATTTATTTACTGTTTGATTGTCTGAGAAAACCGTGGCGATTTCAATCACCAAGCGTGGCTATGAAGGGGTATTTTGACCAACAAAGAGGATGATCGGGATGTTTACCAGACACAATGGAATGAATATGCAGTGGATCTGAAGGGGAATAACCAGCAACAATGGAGAATGGATACTTGGCCTTGACATAGTTGTTTGGATACTCATATGTTCATTATCAACCTTGAGAAATAGAAGTTTATAAAATCCAATCCTCATTTGTTCCTAAAAGTTGATCCTTTCTGCATCTTTTTGATTACTAAACTCAATGTTCACATATGTTCACATAATTTCACATATATGTTTATGTATTTTCCAACGTATTTTCCAACGTATTTTCCACATGTTTCATCATTTTCCCACGTTCTCTGGCGTTCTCTGGCCGTCTCTTTGGGTATCATGGATCCCTGGGACACAGGTGGTGTGTCGTGCGTACCAGAGCCGTCGACCTGTCTCGGTGCTGAACTGGTCTCGGTGCTCAGATGGCGAACGGTGGGACGGTGGGACACCGGGGACCACCGGTGTCCCCAAAATCCGGTGGAAAAACGTTGGAAACACGTTGGAAACACCCCTGTTTTAACCATGGGCAGGAGAAGATGATGATTCTTATGATCATTTGATATGGATTTTTTTATGTGTGCTTGATGGGACAATTACAACTTCTTTATATGTTATCCTATAATTTTCTGTGTGTTCATTGTTTTCTCAGACTGGACAATCCAATGGATGAACATCGGCAGTATGTTTTTAGGTTAGAGTTGAATGAGCTGGACATAATTCCTGCGGTTTAAAGATTTTAAATCCTATTCTTTAAACATTGCCATCAATGGGGCTATGCGGCTATGCAATCTGTTGCTGGTACACCAAGGGCCCAGGTAATGGGTGTCACCAGGATAGATGTCTAGGGAGAGAGTCAAAACAAAAATGGTGAATTAAACTATAGATGAAGGCATCATGTCATTAGGTGTATATGGTGTATAATGATGTATACATCTTTCTTTTATTTTCTTTTTCTTTATGTGTGTTTCTGTTCAGGTTTGGAGTAAATGTTGGAAACAATTCAAGGCATTCAGCATTTGGGCCATGAGCCAGTCTGCCGACATCTCATCAACTGTCTCACTGAGCTGACACCGCTATAGGTGTCTTCAGCAAGAGGACAGGGACAAGACCTTCCCGTGGTTGTCTACAATTTTCTACTACATCGTAATTTAACATAGCTAATTATGGAAAATGGTCAGTTTGGAGCATTTACTGATATTTAATTACCTATTAAACATGGTGGCTTTTCGATAGATTTGTTAAATTGCCGGAGGCAATCTTCAGGTCCAGGTGATATGCTTTTCTCATTTTTTCTCTTTCTAATAGATTAATAGTTTGTTTCATTCATTTCCCAGCGATGAGCAAAGGCTCCAGCAGCGCATGGTGTGCTACCACTGCTGATCACAGAGAATTCACGAGCCCCTCAGATATTTTTGTTGGTATCTATATAACATGTGCGTTTTCTCTGTGATGTATCTAACAGTCACTGATCCTCAGATAAAATTGGTTTAACATCTTAGGTCCACCCGAAACCAATCAAACTGTCGCATCTAACATGATCATTTCATCCATTGCCATTTGATTGACATCCAGTCACCCAAAGGATAGGCACACACATATGAGGGACGGCTCTTATTTGCGTATATGGAAAGTAGTATTCGGAAGTACCCCGGGCCCGTTTGTCAAAAACATTGTATTTAGCTTGTAAAACGAGGTAGGAACACCCCGAGAACGAGGTAGGCAAAAACGTTACGGGACTGGAGAACGAGGTAGGAACACCCCGTCAATTGCGTTATGTAACAAATATGGTCCGCAGCTCATATGATCACCATGTTTTAGGAGGCTTTTACATGCTTTTACCCTCTGGAAATTTAACATAGCTATGGAAAATCACAATTTTTAATGGGAAAATCCACTATAGATGGCAATTTTATGTTAAATTACTAGAGGGTACATGCTTTTACTTTTTCTTTGGGGCTTGGGGATGGGGATGGACACCGCTCAGTTTCACGTAGCGTTTCGCTACGGAAATCGCTCGAAGGACTATGCTCAGTGGCGCATGACGGTGTTGCCCTACTCGTGGGACCCTCGCTTCGTTTACCTGGAGGACGATCGACTGGGGATCGAATACGAAGTGGGATATGATGGGATGGTGGTGACTGGAACCAAGGATTTTTATGGCTTTCCATTCAGTTTGGAATTTCATCATCCCAACTGACTGTAACTCCATCATTTTTCAGAGGGGTAGGTATACCACCAACCAGGATATCATGGGATATGAGCTCAAGCAATGAAGCATTCAGTGATATATCTGTATCATGATAACTGGAAGTCTAACCATAACAAATGGTTGGTGGTTTGGAACATGAATTACAATTTTTCCATATATCGGGAATAATAATCATCCCAACTGACTGTAACTCCATCATTTTTCAGAGGGGTAGGTCAACCACCAACCATCATTATGCATTTAATCTTCCAGGGATTCAATCATAAAACATTGTGCTTTGGAGGTTACATAGGTTAGGGGGGGGCAAGCTATCACCCAAGTCGATGTGGTCGCGTTTTTGTCAATGTTGCCCAAACAGTGGGATGAAGAGTGTCAAAAAGAGACGGGTTGGCAAGACGAAATTGAGCTGAGCTGATTCAAACAAGTGTTTCAAACAAAATGCCGAAGATGAGTAGATGGCAGACCAATGAGATTCCGACTTTACTCAACATTGCTTCAGAAACTGGATGTGTCAATATAGAAAGATACAAAGAGCAATGCCAAATTTGCATGTTCCTTGGGTCCCCAGTTGTCGCTGAGAAAAAAGCCCTTCAGGGCACGACAGAGCCAGGATTGCAAAGCCCGTGGGAACGAGGTGATCTTGGAGGCCACATAATGGTCCCATGGATGGTCCCCTGCATTGAAGACCCAGGAAGACGCAGATGGGTACAGAAACTATGTGTTGTAAGGTCTTGGAAATTTGCCGTCCAAAACTGTGGTGCCTAAAGGCCTAAGGTGATTTTTCAGATTTCAAAAGACTTAGACAAGTGATGAGAACTGCCAGAAGGGAGTGAGAAGGGAGCACCCTGGAACCACAACATGGAGCCTGTCAAACTGATCCCTAAAGACTGGATGGGTTTTAACCACACGAATCTTCCGGATAACTATTGGAAGTACCCTCTGGTAATTTAACATAGCTATTGAACATGGCCATTTATAGTGAGTTTTCCCATTAAAAATGGTGATTTTCCATAGTTATGTAAATGTTTACCAGAGGGTATCTATCCCATGGGGATATACAGCCAACATCTTCCAGATAGGTACTAACTATGCTGTACTAACTATACTATATGTTACATTGTTTCGGGCTTACATGAATGTATCATAATGTATTCCATGGGAAAATCCAACTTCGAGCAAGGCATCTTGAGAAAACACCAAGAGCCATTGCTGGTTCCGCCATTCATCTCAGACTTGGTTGAAGAATCCTGCAAACAAATTAGGGTTTGACAAGGTCTAACATAGATGTTACATAGATGTTCTAATGATTTTCCATAGATGTTCCATAGATGGAACCCACATTTCCCATGGTTAGTGGTAAAAAACACCGTGTTTTCAACAGTTTCAAGCCATAGATTTTCCCAACACAACTGGGCCCTGGGCCCCATGTAGGCGCAACTACTGACGGAGATGAACCCCATGGCGCGGGGCTTCAGCAGAGATTTCCGCAGGGGATATGACCAACAGATGAGGATCTTATCGGGGTATGGGATAATATCATATAATATCTGGTTGGTGGTTTGGAACATTTTTTATTTTTCCATTCAGTTGGGAATTTCATCATCCCAACTGAAGAACTCATATTTTTCAGAGGGGTAGGTTGAAACCACCAACCACGTGGGATATGATGGGGATCCGACAAGAATGGGGATACCGGTGATTTGTCTTCTAGGACATCACCTACAACTATGTTGGATTACCAGAGGGGGTGGACTGGCCGATCGGACAATCATCTATAAATGATAAATGAAGGCTTTTTCCGTTGCCACGTTTGATGACCAGAGCGTACTGATGCGTACTGTGTCCATGGATTTAAATCATGAATGTTTCAAGCCTTGCTAGTTTTTCAATAGGTTCCACCAAAGAAACGCCATGTTCATCCATCCGCCCCCATGTCACTATGGGTCTGTCTTTTCGGATAGTCCAAAATTCCAATGGTCGACCAAAAAAATGTGCGTGCCATCTCTTGGTTGAAAGCCACAGCATAGCTATAGAAAATGGCCCATTTAGTTCGTTGATGTACCGTGCTTAAAGATTGTGGATAGTTTCCATAACTTTCATTGATTTTCCAGTTCGCTATGTTAGTTAATTTTTACCTATTATCCGATGGTGATGTTCAAGTTCGCTATCTTCAAAATAACCAGTTCAATAACCAGCTAGTTAGCCATTTTTTGGTGAGTTTTTGGTTCGTTGTTCAAGCCATGTGATCCATGTGTTGCTTCCAATGTGCTGATCCTCGGGTCATCTGAGGTCTGGATGGAGGAAGAGGGACAGGAGGCGGAGATCGCGCTGAGTCGCCTACTGCTGGTTGGGCCCCCAACGGTGATCCCAGAGAGTCGCCTATGATATTTGGCCATGGCCATGCAACAGGAACCGATTGATTGGAGGTACCGGACCTAGCAGAATGGCAATATTTTATGGCAAAATTTTATGGATTCCATAGTTCAAGCTATTTGGGATTAATGGGGATTCATGCTGGTTAATGGTGATGAGTTAGTGGTATCATGGGAATATTATTGCTGGTTGGTGGTTTGGAAACATGAAATTATATGGCAATCCATTCAGTTGGGAATTTCATCATCACTGACGAACTCACTCCATCATTTTTCAGAGGGGTAGGTCAACCACCAACCAGGAAGTCATGATCTGACTTGGATGATTTGGGGGTACCCCCCATGACTTACTTAGGACACTTTCATGAGAAGAATCAATCACCTGCTTCTTTCGGTTGCGAAGAATCAACAAAACATGCTTCCTCCAAGATCGCACGTAGTCGATGGGCAAGTTGGTAAACTGTTTAATCATTTCGCTACGCTAACGGGTGGGTTTACGGTGGATAATATTATATTATGTATATACATAATATACATAATATAATATTATGTATATTATGTATACTATGTATATTTTATATATTATATTATATATATTATATGTATATTATATATATTATATATATTATATATATATTATATATACTATATATATATTATGCATATAAGATAAATATGGAATATGGATGTGTCTGGAATAGGGTTTATATATATATATATATATACATATATATCCCCAAATAACAATTCAAACAGGGAATATTGTGATTCAGCGTTAGATTTTGGGGTACTCCATGTTCAGACAAACCCATATATATATATACTTATTAGTTATAGATATTGTGCATGAGTACGTATTGACATACTAGAGACTCCAGTTGGATTGCTTGTTTCCAAGACAAGTTTTAATTGGTGGGCCCAGTTTAGCTTTGTGGGCCCGTTGTGGACATCCTGAGGCGCATCCTACTGCTGTGCCAAGAAGACATTGGCACAATGGCTTCTACAGCAAACCCTTCAAGGCCATGGCGGTTGAAGGTCCCTGGCCAAGAGTCCAGTGGATGTTTGTAGCAATGCATTGGTTACCCTCTGGTAATTTAACATAGCTATTGAACATGGTGATTTATAGTGAGTTTTCCCATTGAAAATGGTGATTTTCCATAGTTATGTAAACGTTTACCAGAGGGTATCTATCCCATGGGGATATACAGCCAACATCTTCCAGATAGGTACTAACTATGCTGTACTAACTCTACTATATGTTACATTGTTTCGGGCTTAGATGAATGTATCATAATGTATTCCATGGGAAATCCAACTTCGAGCAAGGCATCTTGAGAATGGATTTCACATTTCACAATCCGGTTTTTGGAGGGCTTCAGGATTTCCGGAATAGATGGTCTCATCAAAATCAGTCCAAAACACATATTGTATTACGTATTTTAATACATGTTGATATATATTTATGTATATATATATATATATATATACATATGTTATATATATAGTTATAATATAATTATATATATATATTCATTTATAATTACGTATAGTTATATTATATATAGTTATATATATATAAATATGATTATATATTACTATTATATGAGTACATATGACATTTTACAATATTGTTTTGATATTATATCATCTTATATATATATACACAAATATTATAATTATGTATATTCTCAATCAGACAGTGCCAGCCACGGTAGCAGGAGCGTACTCGCCTGGCACGTGACGGAGTTGCAGAGCATTGCGAGTGGTTCCGCTGGCAAAAGTTCGGAGTCCTGGGTCTTGAAATGCTGGGAAGACCATAGGCAAATCATGGGCAAAAATCCATCAGTTAGTTTTAAGTTTTGGCACTTTACCAGTTATCAGGTCTTGAGTTATGGAAAATGCTCTACAACTGGCAGCTTCAATGGGAACATCAAATATATATATATATATGTGTATATATATATATATAGATGGATGATTTCCACTTGCTAGTTACAGTTATGGCTCAAATACCAGTTACAGTATAAGTCAGTGAAATGACCCTATAAAAATGGAATGATAACCCCATTTACAACGAATTATAACCATTTGGAACCATTGATAACCATTTATAACCTTTTAAAAGCATTTATTTATAAACATCAAACTCTAAAACCGTTCATAACTCGTAAAGGGCTTTAACTGTTGAAAGGGATGTGCCTGGAATGAGCGGAACATGTTTTTCCCTTTTGCTGCCCAAGAGCCCAATCTGTGCCCAGATGAGTCAGATGATTCACTTGATGTAGGGAAACCGGTCACTTGTTCATAGATCTGTTGCACAGGGGCTTGATTTAGTCTGTCTAGACACCCAGTGGAAGGGAGATAAGATGATAAGGAGCTACGGGTACAAGTTCCCCCATTTTTTACAGGCAGCCAAGGAGCTTTTTGAGTTCCAAAGCACAGAGATTGGATCATATCTTTATTTTGATCCATGATTTGCCGAAGATCATGCTGCCAGAAATGGACGGAGTCTTCACTTCATTGAGGAGATTCTCAAATCGATGGAAACTTGATTGCCCCTATTTTGATGATGACATATGGTGACTGCATGCTCTTTGATTTTGTTTAGTGACCCCTATACTTCTATTATTCTTGGCTCACCAAAGTTCGTCTCGAACATGTTTTCCTTTACCTGCAACTTGGCTAACCATCTGGATTATCACCTTGTAACATATCCACTATTCCTTGCTTCAATCATTTTTACTTATAAATCGAGATATTTACGTCGTGGTCAATTAGGTCCCAGCTGACGTATCCAACTGACCTATCAACTATCACCAGCAACTGACCTATCAACATCTATATATCAACTATCACCACTAGCTTCTCAACATTACCTATCAACATATATATATATATATATATATCAACATATATCAACAAAACTAGAACCAGCTGACCTATCAACCTACCTATCAACTATAACCCACATCTAACCAACTCCCATTTCGACCCTGGCGCGCAGAAACAGCAGGCCCGCACCTCTCTCTGCGGAATCTCATGCAGCTGCCGAGGGTTTTTCCAGGTGGGAGCTCCGTAGAGTTTTGTTTGGAGATGGAAAATGGGAAAATGATGGTTTTAACGGGTCAGAAAATGGTGGTTTCATGATGTTTTTCACGGGATTCTATGGGAGTTCCTAAGTCATGGCGATTTTTATTCAATAGCTGGATGGTGTATAATGGATATAATGGGCAAATCCCCATCTAAAATGGATGATTTGGGAGTACCTTCAATATTCATATGTGAAAGTCGTGAAAGGAAGCCACTTTGATAATCTTTGGAATATGTTTTATTTATATGTGTTTTTTTTTGTATTATATTTGAATATGTGAAAATATTGTGAAAGTCGAATGGAATATATATCGCCAACATCGCAGTCACAGAATGTCAACCCCGGATTAATAAACCAACAGCTTATTCATAGGGGAGGTGCCAATGTCAATCTAGTACTGCATCACTTTATCACTCTTATGGGTTCACCAGAATCAACAGGGTCACGTCCAAGTAATTGGGGTGGAGTGCATGCCATTTGTAAGTAGTTCTGCCCGAAGAAAAAGCATGAAAAAGCACTGCCGAGTATCGGTTAGTTCAGTATGAACTCGCCAAAACGGATGGTTTTATACTAGGTAAGATCTATAATGACTAACATAGCTATTGAACATTCCCCCAAAAAGAAAGTTCGTTGATTTACCGAACGTATGACTGTATGACGTTTGTTGATCCATTCAAAGTAGGAATAAAATGTCTTGTCCTAGTTTAAATTACCAGAGGTACTCCGTGGTGATCAGTGGTGATGTATTGTTTATGGACCCTTTTGTTTACCATGATTGGTCGCTTTAAGTTCATGTTCCCGTCATGGTTATTGTTTATTCATTGTTACCTATATGTTTGTTAGTTACATGAACCTCATTTAAGAGACATGAATGAAGAATAGTGAAGAATAATGAAGAATAATGAATGAAACACAGTTTTGTTATGACGTATATGTTGGTCATTCCCTATATCATTGGTTACATCCTTTCTTTCGTTGTAGACATCATCGGAACTTACATCATCCTCCCCAAAAAGGAACCCGAGATCTGCAGGTTGACGAAGGCTGTTGCGGAACCACCGGAAGATGATGATGAGGACATGGCAGTGTTTGTTGGGGCGCAGAGCTGTTGGCTGATGCTTTGGAATATGGATTAGAATTATACATATATATATATATGTATATTATATTACTTTAATTATATGTTTATATTATAGATATGTATATTGCCCATATGTATGTATGTGTGTATGTATGTATGTAATGTAATGTAAATGTAAATGTAAATGTAAATGTAAATGTAATGTAATGTAATGTAATGTAATGTATGTATGTATGTATGCATGTATGTAAGTAAGTAAGTAAGTAAGTAAGTAATGTAATGAATGTATGTAATGTAATGTAATGTAATGTTATGTTATGTAATGTAATGTAATGTAATGTATGTATGTATGTATGTATGTAATGTAATGTATGTATGTATGTATGTAATGTTATATTGTATTATATTATATTATATTATGTTATAATATATTATATTATAGTATGTTATGTTATGTTATGGTATGTTATGTTATGGTATATTATAATATAATATAATATTATATTATATTACATTATATCATATTATATTATATTATAGTTACATTATATTTACATTATATATGTATATATATATATACATACACATTATTTTTATTTTTTTAAGAATGCCATTGGATAAAATGCACCATGACTAGAGAATTGATTGGGAAGCTTTGTTTGGAGACCTCTTAAGCACCTCCAGCCGTTGAATGTTTGACCATTCACTTGCTTTTGGATGGGCCCCATGGAGCGAAATATTTCAGAAGTTACGGCGACCCTTCCAAAACATACCCCACGTACATCCTCAGGAGGTATTTAGATCCATAGGAAAACATCTCCAGCTATCCCTGTCTGGGAATGATTGCCCAATGTCATCACGTCTGCAGCCCGCAGGAGCCACCACCTTTGGTCAGTCATGAGTGAGACCCTTTCGCTCTGAGAAAAGGTGAGGGAAGCCAGGTGTGAACACAGCATTTGGCAGTTGGAAGTTGCTAGAGTTGGAGTCGAAAGTCCAAGTGATGGACCGATTTTGTGATGGACGGATTTTCTGAGACCAAGTGATGGATATTTGAGGCACTGCAGCCACTTTGGCTTCAGACATTCAGGCGATCATGGACATGCTAGGGCCGAAATCGCTGAATGGCTTGCGACAAAAAATGACTATCAACCCAGCTGAGATAGCAAGTGAGCTGGACATCAGATTTCTGAGATGGTGTAGATTTTTTTTGTTGTATAGGTCATAGCACATGACAATAAGAATGAGATGAGTCGAATAGTATCCTCATGTTAAAATGAGCAAAAAACCCTTCGCACAGGTGAGATTCAATCCCAGTCTTGCAAACATGGTTCCAGATTGATGATCCCATGGCCTCTTCCGGATTTGTTGTGTCCACATGGCAAGCTATCGATTTCGGGCCACAGTCATTTCTTAGCTTCCTTAGCCTGTGATCCAACAGATTGCACCAGAAAAATGTCGGAGTCCGTCGATGCTACTGAGGCCAGATGTGGATTGCGCCAGTACATGGGGTGATTTAGGGCATATTTGGGGCTTGCGGGGGCTCAGCCAAAGACAATCGGTGAATATCGGTCATATGCCAGCCTCGGATCTCAACTGCGAGTTCCGGATCTCAGTGGGCACTGCCGGACTTCAACTGCGAGCTCCAGATCTCAGTGGGGACTGCTGGACGTCAACCGCGAACTCCAGATCTCGTCGGCACTGCCGGGCCTCAGGGAGATGCCAGAGAGAACGTCAGATAGCCCGAAAGAATGCCAGAATGGATGCCTGAAAAGATGCAAGATAGAATGTCAGAATATGCCAGATAACGTCAGAAAGAATGTCAAAGTATATGCCAGAAAGACTGTCAGATAGAATGTCTTATGCCATATGTACTTCCAGATGGTATGTCAGAAACTATGTCAGAATAGTGTTTCAGGGTGGGGGTAGCTCGAAGAAAGTAATTTATAGCATGTTATAGTTTTAAGAAGCGCTACCCGTGTCCCTGACTGTTTGCGGATGGCAGTGGCTGCTGCAGGGGTTAGAGTTAGATCTACCAGTACATCTATCTCTACATAATTAGTAGAGACCATGATTTCAGAAAAGCAAACAAGTAAATGAAAATAAACCAATTTTTAAAAGGAGTGAAGTAGCACCCAGCTCTTTTGAACCAGATGAAAGCCAGTTGTTTGCCCGCCTGGGAGTCCACATTCCTCTTGACAGCCACGCGGTTGAATTGTTACCTGAAATCCAGTGGATTATCAATGGTATCACTGTGATCATCATCATTTCTACCCCTTTGTGTTGGATGGATGCTTAAACCATAATCATTCCCAATTTTTGGTAGTTCGATCATATGTTTAGCCTAAACGTTGACCATTAAACCATCATGGTGTCCATTCTTTAGATAGTTAAACCACCTCTGCTCACCATCTGTATATTTTAACCATCACGTTTCATGTCCAAGTATGTTTGCTAGTGAAACCATTTTTTCACAATGGTTTACAGTAAACCGCCTTTTTCTGGTTGGTGCTTTGGAACATGCATTTCATTTTTCCATTCAGTTGGGAATTTAATCATCCCAACTGACGAACTCATATTTTTCAGAGGGGTAGGTCAACCACCAACATCCACCAACCAGTTTTAATATGTTGCTGATCGTCAACCACCATGTTCATTCATGTTCCATCATTGTCTTGAAGGGAACATCTGCAGCAACCTTTTTTTTTTGGACGATAGAACGATGTTTTCCTGTATATAGTTTTTTCCTTACATAAACCCGTTGATCAGTTTTGAAATCCAGTCAATCCACTATATACTAACTTGCTTATATCCGAATTATTCACCAATGGTCTTTGTATGGATATATTCACCCCAAAATGACCCAAATGTGGGTAAATATTCTAGACATGGATCAAAAAATGGTATTCAGCATGTTTGAGAGTTCCAACAATCCAAGTCATGTCATTTTATCAGACTATCACCATGTTTTATGATAACCATATAATATCAGTTTTATATTCTAAAATTAATGATTCTCCGATCCAATCCAAGTCATTCACCGTGATTTCCAACATTGATTCACCATGATTTTCACCATGTTTGAGAGTTCCATACCCATTAATGCTCCATGGTGCTGGCATAGTTACTAACATTTACCCAAACAAAATCACCCAGTTTTGTAGGTCAAGAAATTACAGCACCATGGTTCGCATGAATGGGATATATGACCAGCTCCAAAGTGAAATATCTCAAGCCCCAATATTCAAGGCCGTTTCCGAAGCCGCGGCCAGTCACTGGGGCTCTGGGGCTCTGGGGGGCTGGGATCGGATGGTTCAAAAGTCCGGATGATGGGGCCCTGGATAGCAAGGAACAGGGCCTGGTTTGTATATCTCAAGTATGGTTTATGATGCTTGCAATGATGAATGTTTGATTATAATCTGGTTGGTGGTTTGGAACATGAATTTTATTTTCCATAATATATGGGATAATCCTTCCCATTGACTTTCATATTTTTCAAGATGGTTGAAACCACCAACCAGTAGTAGTTTAATGCATTTAAATGAACTATATAGTGTTCCAGGGGTTTATAAACCAACTCAGGCATTGGCCCCACATGGGATGATGATTTTCTGTAGCGAAATGGTGATGAAAGCGTGATTTTTTCACATCAAACTTGGTAATTTAACCGCCAAAGATGGTGGCATACTGGGCATATCTACTGTAGACTGTAAACTTGCGCTCGGTTTATGCGGACTGCTGGATCTCCACAATCTCAAAGATATTGGGGGTAAAAAGGCGGATTACTTCGGTATGAATAGAACGTAACATAGAGTAAAGATGTAAATCTGATCGGTTTGTGGTTGAAAATTGGTCCAGTCTAACTGGATCAACTAGCAAAAAATGGTGATTTGACTAACCACAATTCGAATTGAGCCAACAATGAGGATAAGGTGGTATTGTAAATATGGGGCCCAAAAGTTATGTTAGGTGGTTAACCATATTCACCCATCTATGCATATAGATCTACAAATTCAATCATGAATCATGTTGTAAACCTAGGTCTGAAAAAAGTTACCTACCTTACCTTGGGAACCCACATAATACATACTATAGGATTCTATAGCAAAACCATTTTCTAGACCACTCACAGACAGTGACACTTACAAAAATCGAAGCCTGTAGTCTTGAAGCAACATGTCCAGCAGTGGCCATTTCAGGAACCTAAATTGGAGGTATCTACCATATATAAGGCCAATGTAAGGGCTCTGTAAGGGGATAGACCCTGAAAATATGGCTTTATACGGTACAGTACCTCTAGTTTAGGGTCCTGAAATTCCCAATGAAGCAATGCCTGATGGGAAAAATGGTGACGTATAAGCTCTGTGTGTACTAGAAATGCATCGAAATGCAAGGTCATACCCCATATGCATCCATATGCTCCATGGTGCTGGCATATTTACTAACATTTACCCCCAAAATGGCCCAGTTTTGTAGGTCAATATTACAGCACCATGGAGCATATGGGTACTTACATTTGCTTGAGGAACTTTCGGACAAATCACATACATTCCCTGACTGTATTCCCCGTAAAAAACGGGGATTTCCATCCGGATTTCCGGAAAAATCGAGAGCTCATCTCAGGTGTCATCCAGGAATTCAAATGAAGTGCTCTGGGCACAGGTGTCATCCTATTTTAGGTTGGCTGGTTGGTGGTTTCAAACATGGCATTTATTTTCCATACCCCATTAGTGCTCCATGGTGCTGTAATATTTACCTACAAAACTGGGCCATTTTTGGGGTAAATGTTAGTAAAGCATATGGGTAATATATGGGATGTCACCCTTCCCATTGACGAATTCATAGTTTTTCAAGATGGGCACATTGCACCACCAATCAGTTGGTTTCAAGGGCTTCTCTGGCCGGTAGTTTCCTTACTGGTGCTTAGCAGGGAATGAGGGAATGATCCATTGGCTCACCATCAATAATAATCCCAGCAACCCCCAGCAACCCATCCAGCAACCCTACGTAAAACGCACCAGTAAGTTTCAGTTTGCTTCAAAAAGACAACAACAATTTGGGAGATTTGGGATGATCCCCCCGGACAGTCCTGAGGTCAGGTCGTCATGGAGGCTGGTCCGCTGGAGTGATCTTGGAACCCGCCATGGGCGCGGCGCAACGCCCATTGCCGTTGCGCCGGCGCAGGTGTACCGGCCCGAGTTCGCCATGTTCCGGGTGGAAGATCAGGTTGGGACCCCCGCTGTCAGGGGACTTTTCTCGCGAATCACGGAGAGACTTGACATGCGCATTGCCTAGGCCCTACTTACTGATGGCTAAGTTGACTTCTGAAATCTTATAAATAACTTACTGGGAATATCAAGATCTACTCGACTCATGCGGTTCATACACCAAATCATGTACGGAGACTAACTGTTGCTACGAGGATCCCAAGTGACTTGTGGACGATCCCCCACCGGCGTCGAAAAACAACACTCGAGATTGGGTGGGTGGGGTTGAAACCAACCAATTACATATGAACCATGAAGGAGAATGTATAATGATATGTACTGTACATGATATATTACTATTATCATTATTATTATATTATTGTATTATTGTATCACTATATTATTATTATATTATATTATATTATATTACATTACATTATATTATATTACATTATATTAAATTACAATATATTACATTATAGTATATTATTTTATTTTATTTTATATTATATATTATATTATATTATATTATATTATATTTTATTATATTATATTATATTATATTGTACTATATTATATATTAATATTTTTTATATAATATTTTATTATTTTATAAAAATACACGTCCGTATACGTCCGTATATAACTATCGGATTGGTTATCTATATAATGTACACACATATATTATATGTGTTCTAATCGTGTTTTATTATATGATTTAT